TGCTCTCGTGTTGTAGTTGAGCCTGTAAGTTCAGGGACGTATGAGCCATCATCGAAGCTGAACTTAAAGGTACTACAAGACATCCTGAAGGGTATCTTCAAGATCCAGAAGGATGAGGAGCTTGCCAAAGAACGTGATGAAGAAGAAGAACAGGCAGCTCAAAACATCTCATACCTGTTGGCAGATGATATGGAGCTTGATTTTGATGATGATGATGTTCCAGTATGGCGCTCCATTGTCGACAAGTATAGAGGAGGTGATCAGGTGCTACAGGGAGAAGCTGTGAAGATTACTCACCTGTTCAGGGATCAAAAGGACAATGAGAAGGCGACAGAAGCTTTCAGTTCAGAGAGGACAGATTTTTATGAGACCTCAGGACCTCTTCCAAGAACCGAGGGAGAAAATCTTGTAGAGGACTTGCTCACCAAGGATGTTGCAGAACAAGCTTTTGAAGCAGGTGAAGAAGTTCCTCCTTATACAAGAGTCTCCACTATCACTGGTGAAGTCTATACTGGAAGTAGAACACTTCTAGAAGATGAGAATATGGAAGAGGAAGTTCCTGAAGAAGATCCTGCAGTTGAACCTGGAAAGGAAGAAGAAATATTTGATGAAGATGCAGGTGTTTTTCCTTCAGAGGAACCAAAGATGGAAGTTGACCAGGAGGAAGCCAAGGAAGAGTCAACACCACACTTTCTGTCAAGAGAGATAGGTGAGGACTCGACTGCATCGCACTTACCATCAGGTGAGATGGATGCTAACCTTGATGATACTTCAGGTCAGCGGAAATCTAAGAAAAGCCGCCTGAATAAGATTCCTGATCCTCATTTTCATGAAGAAGTTCAGGATGATGCAACCATGGAAGAGAAGAAAGAGGCGGTGGAGAAGATAAAGGAGGTCAGAGAGGATGATGGAGAGAAGAAATTGGAGGCTGAAATCCAAGAATCTTTTCCATCTGAAGTAGTTGTTGAAAAGGATACAACAAAAGTTGACAATACCTATGAGTTGCACACTTCACCTTTAAAGTTGCTTGGAGAGCTTACAGGAGATCCAGGTATTGGCTTTTATCAACTATGCTTCAGGGAAACTCATGCAAGATTGCTGAATCATGTTTGTTTCAGAAAAGGTGAGATTTCCCATCCTCATTATCAGTCAAGGATCAACGAGAATGATTTTGTTCGATCCATTCGCAATATCTGTCCAGTACCTCCACCTGATTGTTATGAACATGAACCAGAGCATGATTTGAAGAGATTCTTCATCAATGATGACCGCATCATTTATTTGGATGGCAGGTATCAGGTCGATCCAAAGGCCCTTGAAAGGGCAGGTCATGCTCGAGAAGAATTGGAGGATACGAAAAAGGAACTCAAGAAGGAACTGGAATCATATGGTCCCAAGGGACCCAGTTGGGACTTTGTCACCTTCTATGAAGAGCTGTGCAGAAGATTCCTCAAGGGAAGAATAGAAGAACCATATGGAACTAATTTATTGGCCAGCTCAGAGTCCTTGACATTTTTATCCTGGAACTATGGCAACATGGTTCGTGGTCAGAAGTACACCACACCAAGGTTTCTCCAAGGACTTGATAGTGCAATGAGGCCACGCAAACAGAGCGCCATGTCACTTCAGAATGAGCAATTTGAGAACAACCTTTTCTTCAACATGCTCTTCTTTTTACGTGCACATGTCGTGATTCTCCAGGAAGCTCATCTTCTTGTTCCTGCCAAGGAATTTATTGAGCAAAAGAATTGGACAGTTTGTTTCAATGATTGGGAGAATCTTGCAGTGATGGCTAGATTGGCACCAGGTGGATATGTCAAGATCATTGCTGGACATGACCAAGATCTTGGTCACTGTGAACAGCGTGATGTAACTTGGGCTATCTACGAGATTTGTTTTGGAGAAACAAGGCCTCGTCAAGATTTCAAGGATGCAGACTTTGAATTTGATGACTATGGTCCTGAGGACAAGCGTGTTCCACTTACTCGAGCGAACATGCATACCATCAGAGTCTGTAATTATCATGTTGATACACACCGTGCTGTGGATGCCCACCTACTGACAGGAGAACAGACAGCATTGATGCTTTACGAGTGTTTTGTCTATGAGGTGGACATCATTTCTGGTGATGCAAATAGTTTGGCCTACAGAATGTCTGGGTACAAAAGGCAGCCAATGGCTAACTACTATTACAGCACCATGCAGCATTGGATCCGCAGGTTTTCAGAAGCTCGTGTCAAAGCAGATCCGGGTATCAAAGCACCTATTCCCAGAACATTTTACAGTTCAACTTCACAGGTCCTCAAGAATTGTGAAGATTACTTTGACAAACTCTGGGAAGAATATTCTACTGTTGAAAAAGAAGAATACCAAGGATCAAAGCTTGGCGATACATGTTTGTCTACCATTGTTGAATGGGGTCATTCAATGAGTGAAGAGGAATATGAAAATTCCACAGTGAGTACGAAGGAGTTCATCTGTAATTTTTCAGAGAACTTTGCTATGATTGACACGGAGGTTATGTGCTCAAGGCCCACTGACGAGGACAGTCATGGTCCAATGTTTATTTCACTCAGACCAGCTTCCTTTTCATCTGGAGACAGAAAACAGTATCGCATGGGACCAACTCTTCATGAGGCGAACTTGCGGAGGAAGGAGAGACAAAAGCAGAATAAAAGGAAAGGAAGGCCGCCAACTTCTGATCAAGCAACTTCATCGTTTGCAGCGGCATAATTCCTGAGCGAAGGCTGAAATTTAAATGATGGCTAGGAAGTGAAGATACTTCTGGTTACAGTTGATACTTTGCTTCCAGGCTTGACTTTAAGTTGCCAGGCTGAAGTTTTAATAAATTCTGGTTTGCAATGAGGAGAAACTTTTTATCAAAGAAGATACTCCTGCATTCCAGGTTTATACGCTTTAGCATGCAGATAGGTATGGACAGTTTTGCATAACTGATGATATCTATCACAGCCGCTTTTTCTGAGATGACCTCTAATGGACAACCATTCATGGTTGATGATTAAGTCATTTCATAAGTCTGCATTTGTAGTGCAAGTTTTGTACATACATTTGCCGGTATCTCCTTCTTGTGTTTTTGATGTGAATGTGAAAGAGAGTCCTTTTGATGCAGTTTATTTTGTCTGTGAATGAAAGCGGTCGAGACCACGTCACGAGAAGATTATTCCTCGGACCGTACGCTCCTTGCATTTTGCAAGGCATCTTAATTCATTGCATTGTGCGGTCTTGAATTTTTAGTTCTTTGTTACGCGAGTGTCGTTTGATTCTTTTATAGGTCTCTGTAGAGAAAAAGCCGCTTTCCCTTTTTAGTTTGATTTAGCTCAGGCCCTAAAGAGCTAGTGAGCGCCGGTACATGGTATCTCCGCCTGCGAAAAGTACAGTCTCCAGCCGAGGTACATTATCGCTTTGATTTTGTACTTGAGGTGAGTCAGCTATTGCTCCCTCACTGTATTTAGTAGCTATGAGATTACCTTCTCCAAAGTGTGAAACACACTGGATTAGGTAAGTACATGGCACCGTAGTTTTCTTTTAAGTTGTCAGAGCTAGCTGGACTGTTTTAGCCTTGCAGTAGAAAAAGAGTATGCGACATACGCAATCAGCTAGAAGTGGACATGAATCTTGTGCCTGCTGAAAAGTAGAGCCTACCTGTACAGGGTTCCACTCCAACAGCTGATATAGTGTGTCCATGCTTGACTGGCTCAAGGCTCAAAGAGATATAGGATAAGACTCTGCGTGAGTAAAAGACACTAGCGGTCTGCACCTCTACCGTGTACGCCCTAGTCACTCTTTCACCCCCCCCCTCCCCTCCACTCCCCTCCCCGTCCCCTCCCCTCGTCGCCAGCACTACTAAATTCTGGACATAAGGTGAAGTCATGCGGCGCTTAACAGTCACAGCAGCACGACGCTGGCCATGAGGTTGCGCAATACAGCACGAACCCTGCGCAATGAGGTCGCGCAATGCAGCTTCGATGCCGCCTGACACAGCGCGTACTGCGTTCACAGACCATATTGCTCGACACCAACGAGCATCGATGCAACACAGCCTCTCTGCAAAGCCCTGTGGAGAAACCCCTCGCGTCGCGGAACACCATTCGACTCAGCCTTATACCCTAGCGTGGCGAAATCTTACCGCATCGTGGAGCACACCCACCATAGCGTGACGTCCATCCCTGGCAGTACCGGCCGCACCCCTCCAGCACTATCCTTACAAGGGGGTTGGTCACTGAGTCACTGCGGCTTCGACGCAACGCGTGCAGGCCTGTAATCCTGACACAGTGCGGGCAGCTGTGGGACCATAGCTGGTACACATGCGAGCGTTTACGCATTGCGACTTTTACGCGCGCCTGTTTTCACACACCTAGACACAAACGAGGGTCGACGCAACGCAACCTCTCTGCAGAGCCGTGTGGCGCAATCTGACCGCAACGGTGTTCCTCTTGAGCCTTCTTATGCCTTCTTGTGCTCTCTGGCTTTGTTGGTTTCATCCATGACTGACCAAGGGGCACGTTCCTGAAACACCGGAGACAGTCCCTCACCAGAAAAGGTCCCGACAGCTACTCGGTCCGTCTCTACCTTTCGTGTTTCCCCGCTCAAGTGGTTATGGCTGCTCTTGTCACGTTGGCCTTGCGGTCTTACCTAGGAGCCTTGGCACTTGATCCACTTGTGCGCTCAGTACACTTGGCTCCACGTTATTTTGTTCGTGGTGTGTCCTAAGACTGTGAAGCTCAACACGTTGCATGTGTTGCCACGAGCACTGTGACTCGCAGTGGTTGCAAGCGTCAGCTGCCCTATGTCCGCGCGAAGAGCAACTTGTTGATGATTGACTGACCAATGGTTCAGGCACAGGGCATCCAAATATCATGGGGCAACTGTTCTGTACGGAATTGTTGGTGGAGTGTGTGCCTTTTAGTGTTGAGAGCAGCGCACGACACCCGGGTATATGTTTGGATTGGACATCCACCTTTTGATGTGGGGCGTGCCAGGCTCAGGGAGGCCAAGCAGCTGATTAGCCAGCTGAAGGCCAGACGTGAACAAGAAGTTGGAGGAAGTGAGACAAGTTGCAAGACATGCGGTAATCACGGAGATGAACTGAACAAGAATCTTGATTTTTTTTGAGGACACACGTGACACGTGGGACGGTGTAACTTGTAACGGTTTTTTTCCCCCAGTTTTTTAGTTTGGCTTGCAGGTTGGTGAATTCGGATGGGATGGGCAAGATTGGGTTATGATGACGGCCTGTTGAAGTTGTTGATGTGTGCCATGGACATTTCCACAAATGCTCTTGGCACCGCTGGGGTCCCATGGATGCCAACACAGGCCGAAGATGCGGCTGCACCCGCCAAGCAAGCCTTGGAACTCTCCCGAGATGCGTCGGCCCGAGACCCAGGGTGCCGCGGAGTGGCAGGGCTGGAGACCCCGGGAGCTGGCATGAAATCGATGTCCCATGACTTGTGGAATCTTGTGGACGTGTTCCCTTTATATACAGGTTTTGATGCCTTCGGGGTCAGCTGGGAAGGATGTCTTCGAAGATGCCTGCTTTCAGTGGAAGAAGGGCACCCTTCCGGAATTTGAGTGTTTTTTTCCTGGAACACAGCGCTACATGTTAGGAGAAACTCTTGTCATGGCAGCGAAAACATTTCCTCACGTGTTTCATGAGGCGCGAAGGCTTGCGTAGCCATTTCGCGTAGAGTCTACTGTGTTTCGTTGAGAAGGCATTTTGCGAAGGCCGTGTTTTTCATGCATGCTGCATGTGTTTTGTAGAATGAAACTAACACAAAACCTCGAGAAACCTTTCGCGAAATCCCCTCTTACATACAACAACATCGTACACCACCCTCGCGTAGGCAAATTCGTTTGGGTGCAAACATTGGCGAAAACTTTGCGGGGGTATGGGTACCTAGTGGCTGTCCCCCAGACCACACCAAAAAAAAAAGTTCATTTGGCTCTGCAGAGCCACCGTCAGAGGTGGTCCTTTGCCCCCTCCAAAGGATCGAGGAATGACATGGATCCCCTCAAAACCACTGGGTTGGTCCTCGGAAAATGGTCTTCCACAACCGCGGGTGAATTCTCATCTTCTCATCTCAGCATCCATGGGATCGTCATGCGGTGGGGTGGGGGGGGAATGACGATCCGCTTATTGCGCTGAAAGCGCATTGCTCGACTGAGGATCAAGTCAGCACCGCGGAAGCTTTGAGATGCTCGGCCGACGTGGGGGAAGCGCCAGATGTGTATGCCAGAAGAGCAGACTATGACTGGTGTCAACTGTCAACGCCCTACCATGCTTGTGCATGTCGAGGGTTTTGACAGAGCCGTGTGCCCTGCAGACTGTAGCTATGGAGCTTGGTCTCCCAGCCTGTATTGGTGATGCAAGGGGCCATGCAAGAGACGACTGTTGGACAGTCCCATAGGAGCCACAGCGCCTGATGTGATGGGCAGGGACCGACCTCCATGAAGGTGTTAAGTGAAGTTGACCTGGGCCCGACCTCCACGCTGCGCCCCGTGTTCGACCGCCCATGGGTCGATCCGACGTGGAGACTCGCTGCTGCGCAAAGCTTGCTTTGCGCAGCAGCGAAGGACGGGGGGGGCGGTTCACCACAGGGCGGTTCACCACCGGGCCGTTTTTGCATATGTTTTATTCCATGTCCAGAGCAGCTCCTCAGGGCTTCTTCTCCTCGCTCAAATGGAGCGTGGAGACATCAAGCCAGAGGAAGCGCTGAAACAAGTCAAGGACCGACTCATGGTGCGCGGCTCGTTGCGCAACGCGTGTGACCGACTTGGAAGATCTGTGGTGTTGGGCCAAAGGAAGATAGGCACTATAAGCTGGTTTGGAGGATTTTTGATGGATGTCCCTGGTGTGCGGCACCAAAAAAGCGGATGTTGTCGCTGGATGATTCCATGCGGACCAGGATGGGCCGGGAGGCAGGAGTTGAACCAGGGACGCCATCTCCAGTCATCTCTAGTCGCTCCCAACTCCACCGAAGTGGCGGTGGGATCAAAGCAGGACCAAGCGTCTCGGTTGGTCTCGGTTGTTGGGAAAAGCAACCAAAGAGAAGCAGCGAGAATGGAGTATCCTCAAACGAGCTATTGAAGTCTTGGCACAGTGTTTCTCTTCCATGCAAAACTATGCAAAGCTTACTGAGATCTCTAATACTCAAAGCAGCAATCTGTCAGAACTTAAGGTTTCCCTCAAGAAACTGGGGCAGGACGAGGCGAGCAAGCTGAAGCGCTCGGCACGGGATGGCCGGAGAGCGGAGGCGTTTGGCTCCAAATGCGGTGGTGAGCTGGCATGGTGAGCGGGTGGCTGGGATCCCGAAGACGGATCATTTCATGGTCAATGTCACACGAGGAAGGCTTCAGAGTTTGTTTTCCCGAAGTGTTCAGAATCCGGTGGGTGTTGGGCCTGAGCACCTCCGCCCCATGGCCTCGGGGTGCGAGTGGCGCATATTGGCGGCAAAAAAGGCTCTCATGTTGCAATAAGGGAATCGCATGTCATGACTCTGGATGATTCTGGTCAAACTTGCTCAGACTCACGACTTTTCATCCATTTTCTATCCATGTCTCACGAATGGATCTGCAGGTGAGTGGTTTTTTTTCTTCGACATGCTTTTCCCCGGGGCGCCGATGAGCGAATGAGGTCTTTCCGGTTTGTTTTCCACCCGCCACCGTGCCGCCAAACCGGATTGCTCGGGCCAGGCCATGATGCAGTTCACCCAAGCAGCCATTCACCTGGCCAAGGAGCTTGGGCGACGAAGCGATCGATCTGGGGCTCGGTCAGGTCATCACGGTGCGGTTTCTGGTCGTCACGGTGGACGTGCACACGTGGATGCACGGTTTCATGGTGGGAACGCTTCGAATCCATTCCAATCTCACAGAAAGATACACGAACCAAGAAAAAAGTCGATGGAAGTGGATGGCAGAAGGCCCCAAAAGGATGGCCGTTTTTTTTCCCTACGAAAGGATGGTGGTTTTCACTCCACTTCCATGTTGTTTTTTTCAGAATGTACAGCAATTACGATGAGTCCTCTGAAACGCATCCCTTGGCCCTCCAACATGTGTCAACAGTTGGAAGTCTGATGAGCCATCCATCTCATTGGTTCCCTCGATCGTCCCAACGATGCGATGCAGATGCCCAGCTCCAAGATACCCAGTGGAGTCGAAGGATGTTTCTCATCGATCCGAAGATTCGACTTTGAAGTAAATCCAAGAGCAAGATTCAAGCACCATCTGTACACCCACCCCAGGCGGGGTGCCACTCTCTCTCCAGGGACCTCAAAAAGGCACTGCCCCACGGCGCCGGCGCCCCCCCCCCACCGGGCGCCGTCGTGGCCGGTGAAGGTGGAGCCGGTGAAGGCGGTGCAGCTGGGCGCCGAGGCCGAGGCTTTCTTCCAGCGGGAGCAGGAGCGACGTGTCCCCGCAGCCCGGGCGAACGGGCCGAGATGGCCGAGGTGTTTGGGGGGGAAAGGGTTGAAGGGGGTTCTGTTTGTGGCAGATTGGAAGGGTGGAAGTTTCTGTGGTGTTTTTCTCTTTCCATCCCATTGGGAATTTGGTATGGTTCAAGCAATTTGTCACATGATGCATGATCTTCCCACGCGGCTCGAGTGACTCATACAATTGTTGTCTGTTCACACCCAAGACCAATGGCCTGGGCTGTACAAACCGCTTGGTTGAGTGCCTTCTTGGCGACTGCTGCATGGGGCATTCGTGGTGAGGTGGATGAGTCTGGAGGTCCAAAGATGACTGTGAAGTTGAGAACTGGAGGCTTCCAGCAAAAGGAGATTGATTGGCTACCGAGCTCATTGAGCACTTGCTGGGAGGATGATAAGATGGCAAAGATGGCTGAATGCATCCAAGAAGCATGCAAGGAAGCTTGGACCAAGAAGAATCGTTCCCCAGCTGAAGTGGCAATATCGGGCCCGCAGAAGAAGTATCAGGTTTTTGTAAGCAGAGGAAATTCCGGTCTGGGCCGGAACAACAATGAAGACACTCTCGCCATGTGGTTTACTCCTCAGGAGGGCAAGATCCAAGCCAGAGTCATTTTTATCATCGCCACGTACTGAGTCAAAGCCCATTTTCAGAGCCCTTGTCCATGCAAAATGTGAGATGGACTGGCAATGTGGAGTTGCCTCACGGGTCTTTCGCTGCGAATAAGACATAAGACACAGCATCACTCGAAGAAGACATCGATTTCTGCATGTCCCTTCTATTTGTGCCAGCCTGCTGTTCTTAGTTTAGAGATGTGGTTCATTTACCTGTATGTTGCTAGGTTATCTTGGGGCTCATGCACTTATTCACAGAAATCACATTATTTCCTCACCAAATATCTCCAAGGATATCGACGTGCTGTCCTTTTCCACCCCCATTTGGCATTCCATTTGTTTGGATGCCATGTTTCGTGCGCTCTTGCAGGACTGGCCAACTCTGGCAGAGGTGCTTGAGGTAGGACGGCCTGAACTTGCTGTGACCGTCGTGAGTGTCATGGCTGCTCTACATCCCCATCACCCCGCGGGGCCATGACCGTAGTCATTGGACCCGAACCGAGACAAGTGCACATGCCAAAGGGCCGTGGAGCACTTTGCAGAGGACGTGCTGCATGCTTCTGGGTGTAAGACAATATGATCCACTTCTGTGAACACACAGAGGACATCGCAGGGAGGCCTTCGACCCCACCAGCCCTAGCCACTGCACAGGTAGTTGCCCCAGCACATCTTCATCGAGGGGATGGCAAGAAGGCACCAGCAGGGGGTGCCCGCGGGCGTGCAGGACATACCAGGTTAGAGTGCAACCAGTTTGGGGGTGACACCATTTTGCTGTTGGCAGTCGAAAAAGGAGGACAGAAGAAGAAGAAGACGACGACGAAGAAGAAGAAGACGAAGACGAAGACGAAGAAGAAGACGAAGAAGAAGAAGAACACAAACCATACAAGGAGAAGAAAGAGTCAGTCAAAAGTTGTCTACAGCTTATACAGATGTTTGGATCTTCTTTCCCACGGGAGCCTAGAAGCCCACGTTTGGATCTTCCTGCTCCGGCGCAGACCGGGGGCCATGGTTGTTTCGGAGGCCATGGATGCGGCGAACCTGATCTTGGATGTAGCTCAGAAAATGAAGGCTCCAGAGGCACCTGGTTCCGCGCTGTTGGCAGCATGGCTAAGCCTACGACTAAACCTCATACTAAGCCTGGTGGAAACTGTAGGTGATTGGTTGGGAAGTGTGTCTTTGCCAGCATTTGAGATGAGAGTCCTTCATTTTTCCACTCTACAGAACCGCTGTCTTATCTCCTATCCCAAACACTTGCAGTTGGCAGTGGAAGCATAAGGCATAAGGTTGAGACTCCCCTCGGCTGCTTTTTTTTCACTGGGATAGGGCTGATTAGATCCTCCAGGTGGAGGCACGCGCCTGGACCTTTGTGGCAGCGGGCCGCTTCATGTCCAAGTCTGAGGATGCGGCAGAGGTCGATTCCGTGGCTTTCGGGTGATGCGGCAGAGGTCGATCACAGGTCGATCTGGGTCGAGATGAAGGTTTTCGACAGACATCTCACAGGTTTTGCTCAAGCCCCTCATCATTTAGTGTTTTCCCCTCAATCTCCACGGTGATGTTCTGGTGAGATCGTGTTAGGTCAAGATAGCCCAAGCCCTCCTTCCACTTGCCTGTGCTGCTGTGATGTGATCAGGTCTTGAGGCAGTTTCACTGGGTCCAGTTTGGTCCGAGCTTCCACAGCTGTTGTACTGTGTAGAAGTATTGATCATGCAAAACAGGTGGATCAATACGTGTAGATTGATGTAGATGGTAGATACATCAAAAACTGTATGGTACATCATTGTACCGTACTACAAGGTCGAAGCTCATGCTATTCAGGGACAAGCCAAATTGCTCTAGTGATGGGCAGACTCCTTCGACGAAACCCTATTGACCTGGCACCTGATCCAAATGTACAGTATTTGCAAGGGATGTCAGACTGCGACTCTTTTCGGCTGTTTGGGGAAGAGAGCAATCCTCAGATAGACCCGCTGTGACGCCAAACAGATCTCGAAGAGTGAACATTCCGGGACAGTGTCCCTCGACTCCACAACATAAGTGTATTCTTGTGTGTATTGAACTCAGAGGTCTCTGTCTCTTTGATGCTGAATCCACCTGGTGGTACCAAGCATGACATGGACCAAACCGTGTTTCGGCTCGTCGCGCACACAGGTTCCGCGTCGCGGCTCGTCGCGGCTCGGGATCTCGCCCGCCAGGCTGCCCGGAAGGCCCTGGATTTATGCCGCAGTGGCCGGCACCGCGCCGGGGAAGTGCAGACGCGTGGGTGCCTGGCGCCGCCTGCTCGCGGTCGCGGGCCTGGTGCGGTCCGCGTGGAGGAAGGGAAGTGACTTAAAGGTGGATGAAGGGTTTGGAGGATATCTCTGATGAACATACTTATACTATAGGTGATTTGGCTCACACAACTTTAAGATACTTTAAATATAGGACCTTGAGGTCCAGCTTCTTCCATCTCTTCCACTGTCCCATACAAATCTCAAGCATTCTCAACATGTTTCTTCTAGGATTTGGCCCGATGCCATTGTTTTAAGTTTACAGGATGCAGCTGCTCTCCGTAACCCACACAGCTTGGAAAAGGGACATCTTAGTAAACTCACCAATACATGACCGTAGGCCATTTGGTTCTTCGAATGGGAGAGGGCCAGACTGAGCATCAAGGCAAGTTCCTTTTATCGTACTCTGGAGCAATGAGGGTTTTGTGGGTCCTGTGTTGCTGTCCCACCTTGTGCCCCCATCATTCACCTGTAAGATGTTCCATTAAATTGAAGTATGTCGTTTTCTTCGGGGGGCACTCACTGTCGGCCTCTGAACCGGCACTCATGGCGCCGGGCGCCTTGTCCAAAGGCTCTTGGAATTGGCCAAAGGCCAACTGACGTTGCAGGACTGCCGGTTGCGCACCCAGAGAACGGGGGAACCGGTTGCAGGGGGAGGTTTGGGTCTGGAGTGCTGGAACCCGTCGAAGGGGCCGAACCACCCCAAACGAGGTCCGTTCGACGACCCAACATCCGCTGAGTTCTGCGTCTTTTTGGGCATGACATCCGCTGAGTTCTGCGTCTCTTCCAAAACTCTCGTGAAGCCGGTGGAAGCCGGAATCTGGGGGCATTGGATCGAACGTCGTTCAGCTGCAGAATGTGGTTACACTATGGTTGCTGCTGCAGAATGGCCATGACATTCTTTGGACATCGTCTGGAAAACGGCACTGCGGGTCAAGAACAGGATACAAAGATACTCAGTCTCCAATGAACAGGATTTGCAGTAAGCCTTTGTCCAACTCAATCCAGTGTTGCATGATGTCAGTTGGGCCATATTCGAAGGCTTTGTTGGAGAACAGTTGCAAAGGAGTTCTACTGAAGATCACCGTTCATCCTGGACATCTAGCATGGAAAGTTCCAACGCCCGTCGATTCAATCAAACTCCTGTTGTTCTTTGTGTGATGTGCTTCTCCAGTTCCTAGTGACCTCTTCTTGTGATTGAGGGAAGTTGACTAATTGAGCACTGCATCTCTGCAGTTGCCTTTGGATTGCCCTTCTTCGAACATTCCTTGTCCGCCAGGATTCCTTGTCCGCCTTGGCCTCCGCCCGCGAAGCTCTGAAGGTGGCGCGCGACGCCGAGATTTGGCCTCAGGCGCGATCACCGCGGGTCACCGGTGACCGAAGCTTCTTCGACCGGTCACGGTCGAGACCCTGCGCCAGGCGGGCCGTGCAGTAGAAGCCATCGTGGAGGCGTGGGCTGGGGTTGGAGTGCCTGTAACTCAGCGGGGTGGATGCTGTTCCAGCCAGTCAGAAGTCAATTCTGAAGTAGAGAGCCGTAGGATGAACATGGGATACTGCAAAGCTACGACTGAGACTTTCAATAGCTCTACAAGCTGTCTACAAGATGTCCAACGGTCGACTCTTGATCTTGATTGCGACCTTGATCGAGCAACACCTGGCCGGGCCGGGTTAGCACACACGGCCCAAGGATTTGACCAATAAGCTCTGGCCCTATAGGATTTGGGCCTCCAAAAAGTTGGTAAACGACGGCAGATCTGTCATAGATGTTTGTGGGACAGCGGCCCGGCACAGACCATATGCCTCGGTCGAAGGAACATGTGTTGGAATTACTGTAGATTGACAACACTGTCGGTTCTTGTGGTGCTTCGTTTTCTCATTTTTGAACCACTTAATTTTTTCACCGCTTGGTTGTCCAACCGCTTGGACAGTCGACTGCTTTCTACACTTCCGACTGGCCGGTTCCTGGCTCAGCGTGACATCCAGCCGCACAGGCCCAGCTCCAGGCTGGGAACCCGCAGGCCGCACTGGATGAGGCGCAAGAGCAGCTGTCGCCGGGAGGGCCCAGGTGTGTGGGCCCGTGCACGAAGCCATTGGTTTCACCTCTGGAGGTACACCTGCCAGAGAAATGAGGGATGGGTCTCTCTGACCATTGTACCTACACATGGGTCAAAGGACACAAACACCAGTCTCGCATGGAGCACAGTCTCTTGGCGCTTTTGAAGGAGCTAGAGTGACACAACAATTCAACAAATTAGGGAGGAAGTCCGCAAGCTCTCTTTCTACAATCTCACTTTAAAAAAGCACAAGGATCGTTCGCTTCAGAGGCAGATCACAGAGACAGACATGTACGAAACCAACCGCTGATCACTCGTTGGTACTTCCAACCGGTGTGGTGTTGGTGTACTTCCACCAGGGAGGAGTCGCTCCACCAGTTCACCAGGACCGACTTGGCGTAGGAAGGATTGGTGGGTCGTGGGACGGTGGTTGCAGGACCGACGCTGGGGTTCCATTTGGGTCGTCTTGTGGGGGGATGAGGATCTCATTTCTACAACAGGAAGGATTGTAACATGCGTGGGTTATCTCGGCCGGAGACTCACCTGCATGATTCGTGAGAATCTCGTTAAGCCTGCTCTGCGTAGCAGCTTTATGATCACCGGCTTTGTGCTGACCACTGATCAACTTGTGGCAAACACTCTGAACTCAACCATAGAAGGCCAGCCCGCTGAATCTTGGACACGCCTCTTCAATCCTGGACTGCCCAGGTCCCTCACGCCAGCTGCTTCGAAGGCTCCTGATTTGGGGCAATTCAGAGCTTTCAAGGGGCAAAAGATCCCTGCAATTCCGGCCCCGCGAGTCGAGTAGTCGAGTGAGTGTTGGCTGCGGCGATGGCGATCGAAGGGATTCTCCGATGCGAATCATTGGTTTAGGATGGTTAGGTAATTGGTGGACGGGTGGTGCAAGCTTCATTCTTACTCTTACACTGCGGAAAGCAGAGACATCGCTAAGCTTCAAAAGTCTTCAGCCCGAAGCGGCTTGATACAACACAGTTCCAGCCACTTGAGGCGGCTGTTGAACCGGTGGGAAGCCCAAAGGGGAAGGCTGAATGCCCTCTGGGGCTTCCAACCAACAATTGACCAACGTATTGGTTCGGTGGCATGTCAGTCAGTAGATCCAAGGACACCCAAAGCAGTAACCTTTTTGATTCCTTTTGGTGATTCATGTAGACAAGGACCATGGCCCTTCGCCATGTTTGGACCATTGTCGCCATCGAGTTCAGAACGGTCCGTTTTCATCCATGTTCCATTTTCCCAGCAGTGCCTTGTGGGTACCTTTGTCGGTGCCTTTGTCCACCCTCCCAAAAAGGATTCCACTGCGGAGCGGTCCGCGCTCTGCGGAGACCGCTCTCCCTCGCAGACCGCCACGTCGCAGACGGGAGTTCGTCGCAGGCGGCTGCCGCGATGATGTCTGCCGTGGTGGTGGCCACCGCCGCGCTCAAAGGCGACCCGCCGGTCCCGTGTCGTGTTTTTCTTTTGCATCGTTTTGCAGGAAACACATGATTAGAATGAAAGAGGCTGATACGAGTACCACGAAAAATCACCAAAGGCGTTGGGATGGATCCAAGGTCTTATAAATTCGGGATGACGGTCTGATGAATCTACCACATACTGCCAGCCACATCACTTGACCTGTGGTACTCCAAGATCTCCATCAATTCATCTCACAAGCTCACTTGACCAGACCCGCACCGCAGGCGCCGATGCCGGCCTCGAGCGGGTGAAGGGCTACGTTTCTTGCTCCGTTGGCGCCGGGGCGATCCGTTGGCGCGAAGGTGGAGATGTCCTTCTGGTGCAGCGCCCATTTCAATGATGACTCTAGATTCTAGATGACTCTTGATCAACAACTCGCCCATTTCGATTGCAAAGCCCTCTTGATACACATGGGTGGTTTGATTGAGCAAGAGGTCTGAAGGAGGTTCAAGCTGGGGAAATTGATCCAAAGGTCATACCACGCTTTTGACTTAGATTCTCCCACTGGGTGGCCGTACCTATGAGGAACACGGAGAAACTCATGTGGATGTATGAGGCATCCAGCACAGCCATTCTTTCCCAACAATTCTCTTCTGAGTGGGAGGAACAATGAACTGTGGTCATCCTTGGACATTGCTCGACAGGACTGGGTGTGTCGGAATCAAACAAAGGGAGGGGAGGACCAATGTCTCTGCAAGGCTTGGCCCAGAAAGATACATACATTGATTGACTCATTCAAAGAAAAAGTGCATGGCATTATCACTCTGACACTCTGACTGTGGCGATGTTACTTTTTGTAGTTGACTAGAGCATACTCGAGGCAAGTTCGAGATGATTCAAACACCGAGAGAGCAGCATGAAACAGTTGATGTTTTTTTAGGTTCATTCTTGATCAGATCATGTCGCCCTCCAGCGCCATGGCTGCCTTGCCAGTCCTACGAGGCCAGTCAGTGCAGGTCGATTTGAGAAGCTGAGAACATTCAATCACATCAGAGGTCCGGAGCATCCAAGGCTTCAATCTCACATGGTCTTTACCTTGAATGTCTTTACCTTGATTCAGACACACAAGCCGCATCGGTCGCCACACAGCCCTCGGAGCGAGGAATGGATGGGACCGGTGGAGAGGAGCTTCGCTCGTTTCCCGAAACCTACGGCCCGTCGCTCGGTCGCAGGCACTGGCCGCTCTCGAGCAGCACGCCCGTGGAAGGCGCCGTTGGACCGGCGGAGAGGGCTTGGGTGTGGTTCGTGTCGAGGCCGAAGGCCGAAGGCGAGTTCTGGGGTCAAAGCGAGTGGAGCCGCTTGTCACAGATGGTCGGATCCCAAGAAAAACTCATCCCAAAAGTATCCAAAAGTGAGATACTTTGAAAGCCCCGTGAGGTTCTTCAAATTGGCTGGAATTTCCCATCTGAACCGATCGAACTCCGCTCTACTGTTCTCCCCATGGCAGGTTTTGCTGGTCGCTTCCACCGTGCTTGCTGGGTGCCATCCTTCCGTGGGATTTCTTCCCTCCGCGCGGCCCAGAAGATCCCAGGAGCCCCATGTTTCGGTCCGACGTTTGGAAGAGCTTCGCTTTCTTTTCGCCTCCTCCCCGACGGAGCTTCAGAACTGAAACCCAGCGAAAGAAAATGCAAGACAACATATTTTTTTCCACTCACGATGAGTCACTGAAGGAACACCATGTTCTCAACATGTCTGAATCTGGGTGCTGAATTTTTGAACAGTTCCCGAAAGCACCTGCGAAGGGTTTTTCCTTAAGCACTGCTGCCTA